AAGAAGGGCATGGACTTGGCTTTGCTTCAGAAACTGCAAGGGTGCTTTTTCCAATTAAAAAAAACAGAAAAAAAAAAAACCCCCACACACACCACACAATTCTCCTATAACAGTACAAAACATGAAAAAAAAAGAAGGATACATACAATACAGATTTATCCTCACGTATCAACATAAGGCTACATTGATGGTCTTCCTGGGTGAGTACCAAAATGGAATTTTGCAAAAAGCTGCAACAAGGTTCCTCCAGTACTGGCCCCATTGTATCCAATCACAATCTGATGGCTAACATCAGCCCAAACGCAAAGTCAGCAGAGCAGAGGGCATGTAACAAGTGCCTAAACCTCTGGCCAGCATTGGAGGAAGCCAAACTTCGCATTTTCACCAAGGCAGGCGATTTCAAGGCTTTGGTGCTCTCATTTGTACCTCCTACCAAAATTAAAACCCAAATTCATAAAGCCCAGAAATACATCCATGCCTGCACCACCACTCCTTTAAAGTGCACCAAGTATTAATATACATATATAAAAAGCCAAATTGGAATGCTCGTTGGCGAGATGATACAAGCATACAAAGTCATGTTTCCTACAAAGGATTCTAGCAAAGGAACCAGAGAAAAAAAAAAAAAAAATTGTAGGCCAACACTTGTGCTTTGGAATTCCACCCCCTTCCCAATACCTCAGCTCTATCAAGCAAACAGGTTCCAGTTTGGGGAGGCTGGCATTTTAATATTGCTTACGCTTCCAAGGAGGTTCTCCAAGACTACGTTAAATACTGTCCTCCTAACATCACACTTGGCTGTCCATCCTATGCACAGATGTGTATTAATAGAGGTACCAATATAGCAGTCTGGAGGCTCGGGTTAGTCCATTTTACAGGTGCGAATGGACCACTTTCATAGCAGCAAACATGAGCTTCAAATACATCTCTACCCATCTACCCTACCCACCCCCCTGCTGGGCTACCTTACCCTGACAGCTGCAGTCACCAGCCAACTGACAAGATGCAGCCACTTGTTCAGCCATCCACAAAGCAAAATTTTGGTTGTTCATCAGGATCTGGCCAGCTTTAAAATTTAAATCTGCTCTGTTCCAACAGAATGGCAGATAGAGAGACCACAAGCTCCATATAAAAACTGGAAAGAGTTCAAAACCACTTAGGTGCAGCACAAGCAGAGGCGGACTGACCATTTGGAAACTCTGGCACTGCCCGCGGTCAGTAGGGGACCCCATGAGATGACCCTGGTACCTTTTTCATAGGCTTTTGAGTTTGAGCAAGGACATGGGCCCCAATATCCCCTATTGCCCGGGGGCCCCATGAGTTGTCAGTCTGCTGAGTGCAAGTGTTCTTGAGGCCTAAGGGTTTGCATATCCAGCCAGGCCAGTATTCACAAGGCTACTTACACCCATAGTCTGAATGGGCCTGGGCTGGAGCTGCCAGGTGCTGTGTGTACTGCTTAATACAACAGCAGCAGCTCATAATCCAATATTATGCACACCTATGGGAGATTTCACTCTAGATTGGAGTATTTCTAAGCAATATTTTTTTTATAATAATTCTTGAAGTAGGTCAAAAAGGTGTCATTGCTATGTGTTAATGCAAGGCAATATTGAAGAAAATGGTTTCACTACTAGAACTTCTACTAGGATATAGTCCCTAAAAAGTAAGGATGCACCAAGACCTTTTGTCATAGCCCAAGTTCACAAAAAGAGCAATGCAGGAAGGCTTCCCACAGCAGAGAGTGGGAGAGAAAGGCATGTATACCTTGGTAGCAGATACTCTGTCTGGAATTTCTCTTCTCCTACAGCTGAGAATACACTCAGGGATGACAGTTTGGGCTAGACTGATTGGTCAGCACCGTCACATGGATGGTGCAAACCAATCAGAAGCCATCTAGCCCGTACTGGCATCCCTGCAAAGAGGAGAGACAGCAGCTTCACAGGTCTGGGGATTTGAAATTCCAAGTTCCCTCCTCTGCTTTTTAAAATATATATATATATATATATATATATATATATATATATATAAATAAATAAATGTAAAATGAAGCGTATGTCACAAATACAGCTGCAGCTAAAAAGTCCAAAAAAGTCCAAAAAAGTTAAAAAAAAAAAAAAAAAAAAAAAAGTTACCACCACTAGCCAGACTGGATGAAAAGCCTTGGCTGCTAGAAACTCGTGGGCCGTGCAGCGCAGAGCTCACTGAAAGGGATGTCAGCCATACACCTGGTTTGGCTCTGATTCTAAAGTGTTTCAGAGTGGTGCCCTTTACCTCTTGGACTGTACTTACTGACCCCGAGCACAGAGTCTTCAGTCGCAGAGGCAGTATTTGTGACAGGAGCTTACAATTCTGCCACATGCAAGTTGTCACTTTGCTTTCATATATATTTTAGTTTGTGCATTACTACACTCAAATTGGCGCCCTCTGGCATGCACTTGTTTACAGAGATCCCTTCAATCTTCAAGGTGCTGAAAACAAGAGCGTTAACCCTTTATGGACCCTTTCCTGCCCAATCTTGTACCACATAGCCAAGCATCTATATTCTTGTGTGCAGGGACGGACTGACAACTCATGGGGCCCCCGGGCAATAGGGGATCATGGGGCCCCTGTGTCCTTGCCCAAACTCAAAAAAGCCTATGAAAAAGGTACCAGGGCATCTCATGGGGCCCTCTACTGACCCCAGGCCCTCGGGCAGTGCCCGAGTTTCCAAATGGTTAGTCCACCCCTGGGTGTGTGCGCGCCATTGAGTAGGTCTGCTCTTGGAGTCCACTGGGGAGCACCATCTGCTAGGGAAGAGAAGGATTGAGTAGGAAAAAAGCTTTTCCTGTGCTAGACCTAAACAAGCATGGACCCTTTGCAGTGCAAAGGCAGCCCCACTGCAAGGGAGGATTTTTTAAAAAAGTTAAAGCACCACTGTTTTTTTTGTTGGAACTGGAGACTACAATTGATAAAGAACAACAATACATCCAGCCCATCAATATAATTACCTTATAGAAGCCCCCAAATTTGTGACAGACAGCTGACTAGCTGTCTCTTCAGGCTACAACAGGTCAACGCCCAAGGTGCTCTGCAATCACCACTGAAGAAAAGAAAAAAAAAAAAAAAAAAAAAACACACACACACCACAGAACCAGACCTTTCACAGACATTATACCTTTAGGCTAGGTTAACACATGTGGTGCAGTATATCGCATGTGATTCGTACAGGAACCGCACCGCATTCCTGTGCAAATCACACGCAAACTGTGCGGTGTGATTGGAGCCGTACATTTTGTATGGCTCAAACCTCACCGCATAAAAAAAAAAAAAAAAAAAAAAAAAAAAAAAAAAAAAAAAAAAAAAAAAGGTGAAGGAGCAATTTTTGGGTCCGCACTAGAATTGGATCACATGGGTATTCACACCTATGCGATCCGATTCGGCACATCACACTACGTTTTGCGGAGAAATTCCGGGGTGTTAACATACACACCCGCAGCAGTTCACATGAACGGGGTGAGATTCTAATGCGGTGCGGAATTCGCCGCAAATGCCGGACTGCATTGGTGTGAACCCAGGCTCATAACCCAACTGCAGAGCAACACATTGTCCCTTGCAGTGGGCCTGCCCCTACACTGTTTGGCCTCGTTCACACAGGCACTCACACACAGTCTGAATGGGTACACCATCTATGTTGAAGGCTGTTCATCTGCACTACTGCAAAATTGTAGAGCGTGTCAATGAAGCCTCTGCATTCCCATATAGACGTTCGGCTGCCTGCATGCAGCACCTGGGAGGATCCAGCCACATAAGACATAGGCCATTGACAGATTAGTGTAAGCAGTGTGCAACCCTTGGGCCTCATTGAAACACTTGTCTAGGCCTAGGGGACAGGAAAAGCAGCTTCACTTACCCAATCCTCAGCTCCCCCGATGCCCTCCTCTACTCTCCTATGCTCAGGACAGTGGACTGTCCCCTGGACATCCTCACATCCAATGCAGGGCTTTGGGCTCTGCATTAGTCATCACAATTTCAGAAGACCTGGGACCATCAGTGCACAGGGAAGAAGAGGCTGCAAGGACCATAGAGCTAGCAGCATGGAGGGGGAACTTGCAGCAGCAGAGGTTCTGATAAGTACAACCACTATTCTCGTTCTTATAGACCAAAACATTTCAGTTCAGAGGCAGCCCCCTGCAAGGGAGTTTTTTTTTTTTTTTTTACTCTTCCTGGAGTAAAATTTGAAACGATCATTTTCTGTGCAAGACCTGGCCCAGGTTCACATTGAAAATATCCAGTCTGGAGTTGGCCTTTACAGCAGGGCACCACATATTAGGTTTAACAATAAAGAACCTATTTTGATCAGACAATTGGAGACGCCTTTATTGGTTTTTGGATAGTGCCAAGGGTTAGTGGAGGAAGTGAACTGGTGTGAAAACTTAGAAAGGGGGGGGGGGGGGGGAAAAAAAAAAAAAAAAAAAAAAAAAAGTAAACTTTCAAAAAGCAGAAATTCACAGCAGCCTCCCAGAAAAGTCCTACCAAGCTTACCATTCTGTGTGTTAATTTTGGCCACTTACAGGCACAAACAAAGCAGGCCATTGTGCTGTTCGGGTCAGTTGAAGATGGACACTAGAGCACTGATGTTTTGTCTTCAAGGGCGGTTTAATGCAAAATGTATCCTTTACAAGTCAGAATTTAATAGAAATTAGTCTTTGCCACGTGAAACATTATGTGCAAAAAAAATGCACCAATACATAAATTCCTTAAGCAAGGTTTGCCAGTTGCCAAGCCAATCCAGAAACCTCTCTAGTACCTTGGCAAGTCTTAAAGGACGTTGGCATCCATGCCTAAATCTCTGCAGTGCTGGGTTAAAAAAAAACAAAAAACAAAAAACAAAAAAAACACGGAATGTATATGCAAATGCAGCGTTACCTCAAAAGTAAACAAAAAAGCTATTGGACACAGCTTACTGTGTCACACCAAAGGAACGGCTGCAAAGGTGCGGGTGCGCTGTCCAGTCAGTAGGGTCACGCCAATGAGTTCTCTCCACAGGTGAAGAGAACGGGAGTCCCTGATGAAGGCTCGCTCAGCAGAGGTGGGGCCAGGGCACAGCCATTGGTTGGACATATGGTACCATACCATCCGGAGGAGGATCTTGGGGTGGACGATAAGCTTAAAGTAATTGAAACAAAATATTTAAAAATTAAAAAAAAAAATATATGGCACTTGACCAACACCCTATTTTCACACTTGCAACATTCTTTAACTTTAGTAGGACCAACCTAATAAAAAAAGGCACCTATTGTCCTTAAATGACCTTGCAGCCAGGCTATAAACAGACAAATATTCATACAATTATTAAATTAAGAAAAAAAAAAAATAAAAAAAAATAAAGAAGGAGCAATAACTGGCCTTTCCAGCTGCATCCACTATGGAGTAGTCCATCCTTAAAGTTCAAAGCAGAAGCACGAAAGTCACTTATGACCTCAGCAACTCCCCTTCCACCGTCTCTCCTACCAGCAGGAACTCAAAAGCTCAGCTCCTAGCAGTGATTGGGACGCTTTACTACCCTTTTCCTGGCAGTGACTGTTTCCCTACTACTCTCCTAAGCTGTGACTCAGTTCAGCTCCTTGTCCCCTCTACTACCAGTGACTTGGCAGCTCAGCTCCCCCTGGCTCCCTTTCTTAGCAGGGAAAGAGCAGCTCCACTCCCCTCCCCAATCCAGCTGTGAGCGCACATACTGTTTGCATCAATGGGCAGCCATGGTTTCTGGTGCTCTCCCCTTGTATTTGTAATGCATTTGAAATGAAATATTCCTTTCAGGTGAAGCTGACCTACATTTCACCCTCATCAACCTGCTTTAAAATGGCTTTTGCAATACGCAAGAGACCAGAATGCCCAAAGCCTGGCTACCAGTTTGCTTTGGAAGTAAACATTATCCCACCAAAAGAATAGACCCCTCCCCCCCCGCCTCCTCCTCCCCAACTGCAAACATTTCTGCTGGCTGCCTCAACCTACTACTGGGGTCCCAAAAAATCTGGAATGTTCAGGTATGGCTCAGGTGAACGCCACTAATGCCACACACCAATAATGACAATTTCGGTCTGTTATAGGAGCAGTCTAGTGTTAGGTCATCTAAAATCCTATAGCACCCAATCACAGCGCTGAGGTTGTCATTTACAGAGATTTTTACCATGACAAAGCGGCAATTCAGCACACATTACATGGTAGTGCTCTACCACTTACTGCACTAGGCAGACTTGGTACAGGCATGATTTTAAGCTTTAAAAAAAAAAAAAAAAAAAAAAGGCCAAACAAAAACCCAACAAAAAACAAACACCACATTTTTAACATGGTAAGCGTCCACCAATACCAGTCTAACTTGTTCAGCTACTAGATTCTCAGTGCAAGTCTACCAGTCAGGTCCAACAAACCTGAAAATCAGAAAATCATGCAAAGTATGGAATAAAACTTCTAGTACTGCGATCATTAGAAGAACTCTCGACCACTGGTACACAGCCACTCACCTTCCTCGCTCCCCTCTGGCACCTGCCAGCCTTGGCAAGTCATCATCACTGTCGTATCTTCTAGGATTGTCAAAAAAGTATGCTCTGGACCCAAAGCTGTGACTATTTATCATACCTCCTGCTTCCTACATGGAAAAAGGAAAAAAAAAAAAAAAATATATATATTTATTTAATTTCAGGTACTTATATAGTGCCGTAAATTTACGCAGCGCTTTACATATATATTGTAAATTCACATCAGTCCCTAACCCTCAAGGAGCGTAAGGTCCCTAACTCATTCATACATACACATACTAGGGCCAAATTTAGACAGGAGCCAATTAACCTACCAGCAGGTATTTGGTGTGTGGGAGGAAACTGGAGTACCCAGAGGAAACCCACGCAGGCACAGGGAGAACATGCAAACTCCAGGCAGGTGGTGCCGTGGTTGGGATTTGAACCAACGACCCTAGTACTGCCAGGCGGAAGTGCTAACCATTTAGCCACTGTGCTGCCCTATTAACAGGTGTCCTGGCCAGCTCTCAGCATCTGAAGTCAGTGCAGAAAGTCTTCAGAACATCCAATCCAGCTCAAAATCTCCACTCACACGTTAGGTTATGTACATTTTTTTCCCCTCAAGCCAGGGGCGTATTTACCACAAGACAAACAAAGCACTTGCCTAGGGTGGCATTTCAGGGGGGGCAGCACCTTCCCCCAGAAGAAGGGATGGAAGAAGGGACACGTGCGCCATGCGAACCAGGTGAGATAGGAGAGAGGCTGCGGGCTGCTTGATGGTGTATGTAGAGCCTGACTCTCGGGGATGTCCGGAGCTGTGACGATGGGCGTCTATCACCGGGGGGGTAGTGGAAGGCTCTCCCAGATGGCGGGCAGGGATGATGTTGGTCAATGCCAGGCTCTCTCCATGGGAGGGGTTGTGTTGGTCAGTGTTGGTGGGGCAGACGATTTTTGTGTTGCCTAGGGCAGTACAAAACCTAAATACACCACTACATCAAGCTACCACCCTGGGAGGGGGAAGGCACTCAGCAGTAAAACCCATTCAATTACGCAGTTTGTACCGACTCCTATCCTGGACTGAAATTACTTACTGCAGCTTCTAATGCACATTGTGAGACACTCACAGTATGCAGTGAAATCAGCATATAAGTGAAGCCCGCCTCATTTCCTGGCTGGAGACATCTAGCCTCATCAAGCTTTCCTTCCCAGCCTGTCCCTGACCTACCTTTTTCATATAATGCATTTCAACTCTTTCCAATCAATCTTTCCTTTTCAAAATCACAATTGTGACTTATTGATTAAATCCGTAAAGAACAATCTTTAGAGACCGAGATATCAGGAGGTTGCTGTAGCCCTTCGTAAAGTCCTGCACTCCTCGTTCATTTTAGAATGCAGTAGATTTTGGATTAAACGGGATTTTCTCTATAAGGCTAGAAGCTGCTTTCCCATCAATCTTATGTATTGCTGGGGTCCAAGGAGAGCTTCCATGCCACCTAGTGGACTGGAATGTTCACACATGGAACCATTTTCAGCCTCAAAGCTAGACTTTCCGATGGAAGCTCAGCACCATGTGTGGGCATTACCACAACTTCCCCATTTTCAGAAAGCCATCCAAAAGTAGGGACATTGTTCTTTCAGGTTTACAGAACTACACCCTACCAACGTTTGGCCAATAGTACAGTCCTGTAGCCCTGTGCTGTGTGTTGTCCTGGTACAGAAGGGCAAGTGAGTGCGGTCACCCTGGAAAGGTGCTAGTGGCAGAATCACCAGGTGGAAAATTTAAAAAAAAAAAAAAAAAAAAAAAAAAAAGTGTAGAAGAGGATGGAGGGTGTGGGGGGAGGGTATACATACCTGCTCTGTCAAACAATATTGCTGAGCTGCCCCTTAACCCATTGGTAATTCCCCCCCCCCCCAGCAATGTCTGCCCCTTCTTTCCAAGGGTGCCCCAATAGTAATCCATGTGCTATAGGAGCACCAATGCAGGCATGCTCCCCAGCCAGGCTGTGTGCATTCCATAGATGCATACATGCTTGCCCATACCCCCTTCCTCACAAGGATTGGAGCCTATGGCTTCCACTGCTGCCTGTGTCAGACCCAAAGAAGTCAGTGGAGCTGAAGACGGAGTGCTGGATGAGAGGAGGCAGATACAGGTTTTTAATTGTGGGGGCAAAGAAGAGCTAGTGGAAAGTTTCTTACCTTAAGGCAAGGAATGTATTAACTTTAAAACCATCTTGCCTTTTACTTCATGCATGGAAGACACACACACACACACCCCCACACACACACACACACCTCCCCAGCCCTTCAATACTTAACCTGATCTCAATCCAAAAATGTGCACAGGAGCAGGAACTCTCCTGGGTGTCTCCCTTCTCATTGGCTGAGACACAGCAGTGGGAGCCATTGAGGAGGGGGGCATGGCTGAGCTCTGTGTGTCAATGGACACATGCGGGGAGCATGCATGACTGCCCCTATAGCAAGCAGTGCTATGGGGGCACTCACCAAGAGCACCGGCAGGGGACCTGGGAAGAATTTAAAAATAAAAAAAAAAAAAAAAAAAAAAAAAAAAAAAAAAGGGAGGGGATCGAGGTTGCTCTGTGCAAAACCATTACACAGAGCAGGCAAGTGGAACACGTTTTTGGTTTTTAAATAAAAACGGAGTCTTTAATATTACTTCACAATAGGAGATGCAGTCCATATTCTCTTGAAATATCACCCTCCTATACCTCTTACACCTTGGGAGCTCCATACCTGGAGTGGCAAAGTGACAGGGTCTCCAAAAGAACTTGTGTTCTGAGCCATAAAAAGCAAATAGAACAGAAGTCAAAACAAGTAAAAAAACTCACCAAGTTCTGACTCAGTTTTTTAGCATGGAAGAAGCAAGTCATGAGACACATTGGCAGGAGCTCACAGAAAAGGAGAATAATTACAAAGATGAGATATTCCAGCTCATTGTTTTCTGTAACAGCCTGAAAAGAGAAAAAAAAAAAAATAAAAAAATAATGAAGGTCTAAACCCTGGCTAAAATACATTTAATATGCTAAAGATTTGTATCAAAAATTGCCTTTTTCCCACCCCACATCAGGGCTGCTGATCTCTTGCACCCTCAGTCTACAAGCACCCTCTCCAGTGTTGGCTGCACATCATTGCTCTGGACTGACTGACTTTCTAAAGCAGACTGTGCCTACACCATGTGTGTTGGAATAGCCACCTCTAAACACTAGGGATGCGTATGACCACACAAGCATAAATTGGGAGACAGTTGTCACCCTATAACAGGAGGTGCCTAACTAAACACTGGAGGCAAAAGCAACAGAGTATTTTTAATGAAAGCTACAATTTTTAAAAAGATTATGTTCAAAATGACATTAAACATTTCTACAAGACTATAGTGATTGGGTTTTGATTTACCCACTTTCCTACTTGGCCAATTTTGACATTTATCTCCTAAAATTACTTAGAACCCACAAACAAAAAAAACACTTTAAAGAAAATGCCCTAGAAATAAAAATGGGTGTCACAGCTGATGTCACACAATAGTTGTGCAGTGGTTTTTCAAAATGCAATTTTTCTTGGGAGGGGGGGGGGGGGGGGGGAAACAAAAAACACACAAACACTTGAATATAAACAGAATACCAAATTTTTAATGAAAATATAAAAAGCGCAGTTACACCAAGTAGATAGATACCAAACATCACTTTTAAAAAGAGTGCACGCCTGTTGAATGGCGGCAAACTATGGTACTATAAAAAACTGTCCATAGGCAAAGCTTTAAAAGCTACCAGAGTTGCACAGGAGGTCTGGTGCTAGACTTGTTGCCCTCACTCCGACGGTCCCACCAATACCTGAGGTGTGGTGTGATTGCTGTTTACATGTGTGACCAATGTGTGTCTTCACCTTTGTGTGGGAGCAGGGACGCTTTTTTTTTTTTTTTTTTTTTTTTAAAAAAAACAAAAAAAAAAAAAACAAAAAAAAACAGAGAAACAAAAAAAAAAAAAAAAAACAGAGAAACAAACAAAAAAAAAAAAAAAACAGAGAAACAAAAAAAAAACAGAGAAACAAAAAACAGAGAAACAAAAAACAGAGAAACAAAAACAGAAACAGTTTCTTTAAATTTTTACCACTTTTACTGCTGTCACAAGGAATGTAAAACATCCCTTGTGACAGCAGTAGGCAGCAACATGTCCTCTTCATGGAGATATCTGGGGTCCATTAGACCCTAGATATCACCATTGGGCTACAATGCAGCCAGTCAGACACAGACTGGTCTGATCAGCTGCTTTACTGGCCAGTACCATATTATACAGGATTTATATAGCGCCAACAGTTTGCTCAGCGCTTTACAATATAACGGGAGACAATACAGCAACAATACATTTCCGTACAGGAGGAATAGGAGTGCCCGGCTTGTGGAGCTTACAATCTAAAGGAAGGGGGAGATGATACAAAAAGGTGAGAGCTGCGGGGGATGATCTGGTGGAGGTGAGTCAAGTACAGTTCTTAGGTGGAGGTGGGGTAGGCTTCCATGAAGGTGAGTTTTCAAAGATCGCCTAAAAGCAGACAGGGTGGGGGCTGACCGGACATGCTGTGGTCGGGAGTTCGAGGATGGGAGAGGCTCTGGAGAAGTCCTGGAGGCGAGCATGGGAGGAGCTGATGAGGGAGCTAGAGAGGAAGATATCATGGGAGGAGAGGAGTGGGCGATATCTGTGGATGAGGTTGGCGATGTAGCTAGGGGCAGTGTTGTGGATACCACAGAACCAAAACCAGAAGTGACGAAACACTTTCCGGTTTCTGATGTCACACAGTGGGCGGAACATCAGTTCAGGGAGCCAATGCTGCCGGTCGCATCTTTACTGGGCACTCTAGAGGAGATCTGCATGGATGAATGGGCCAACATACCAGCAACAGTGTGTGCCAACCTTGTGAAGACTTACAGGAAACGTTTGACCTCTGTCATTGCCAACAAAGGATATATAACAAAGTATTGAGATGAACTTTTCATATTCACCAAATACTTATTTTCCACCATAATTTGCAAATAAAATTCTTTCCAAGTCAGCCAATGTGATTGTCTGGATTTTTTCTCATTTTGTCTCTCATAGTTGAGGTCTACCTATGATGCCAATTACAGGCCTCTCTCATCTTTTTAAGTGGGAGAACTTGCACAATTGGTGGCTGACTAAATACTTTCTTGCCCCACTGTATGATGGTAGGTTAACTGGTCCTAGTATATGGGTAGGCATGAGAGACCGTGACCTGCAATTGTAATGTCCTTGACAGCAGGGTCTGATGTATGCCAAGCTCTGCTTAGGTTGTCAACACTGCACAAATGTCTGAGACATAACATACTTTTTTAAAATCACTATTCTGACTTTGATTATTAACCTTTTGTTAGATTGTGAATTCAGTAGACATTTACTGTAGCCATTTGTAGTGTCCTGTACTCCCCAGCCATTTTATAATGCCAATGGATTAGGATTAAAATCGGGATTGAGAGACTAGCAGATGCTTTCCTATCAGGATTTATGTATTGCTGGAGTTTGAGGTGAGCTTCCACACCCCCCTAGTGGACAGAAATGGCCACACATGAAACTTAATATTTTCAACCTCACAAAAAAACAAAAAACAGAACAAACAAAGAATTGGCAAAACCCAGTATTTTATTCTCTAGGGCCCCCACTTTTAATAGTATGTTTTAGGGGTCTAAGTTTTTTTTTTTTTTTTTTTTTTAAGAAAAAAAAGTTACTTAGAAACCTAAAACATTCTAATTAAAAGTGGAGGCCCTAGAGAATAAAATACTGGGTTTTGCAAATTTTTTTTTTTTGTTTTAGAAAAACACACCACTGTTTTATGATGCAAACAAACACATGTCAGAATAGGCCTGGTCTTCAGGTGGCTCCATTTCCCTTATAACCATTTATAGAGGTGAGCACTTACACGATCAGATACTCCATTCCAGGCAAAACTGAAGGGGGTCGGCTTGTTGTCTGGCTGGATGGAAAGTGCCACCATGTTGTACAAAGATCTCAATACATACAATGCGCTGATCACTGTGCCAGTCATGATTGCTTTGTTCCCTGAGGTTCCCTGAAACAGAAACAAAGCACAAGATCAGACAAAAAAAAAAAAATAAAATATATATATATATATATATATATATATATATATATATATATATATTCCACAACAGTTACACACACACAAAAACAAAACAAAAAAAACAAAAACACAATACCTTAGACTCTAGGTAGACATGAGCGGGGGTCATGTTGGCGATCCTGTAGGTGTTGTTGCCCAGTGAGATGGAACAAGCAGTGAAGAGACAGTTACTGATAATGACCCGAGTCAGGGGGATCCATCCACGCTGGTCATCTGGGCCATTGCCGATCAATATGCATAACAAATTCACAATCAGGAAGGAGAGGCCAATAATAAAAAATGCAAATTGCAGTGGGACCCTGGACAATGCAAAACATACTGCAGATTAGAGGGATGGAAAGAGCAAATTCCAGGAATAAAATACCAATTATGAACACATTGGGGTAGATCACCAGATCTATACACATACTTTTTTTATCCTGTGAAACTGGTGGGCCGTTTATTCTGGGAAAAACTGAGTGTTCTCCTGCAGAGTCAGAGCTAGAGTTCCCCAATCAACAGGGAACATAAGGCTGGCCATTCAGTTTTCTTGAGAAAATGGCTTTAGAGTTACCAAAAACAATATAATACGAGGTCAAACCTACACACTTTCAGTTGTATCCAATCAGGCAGGCCCTTGCACTACATAGCTGAAGGTAAAGCTAAAGGAAATTGGGCAGAAATTGGACAGTAAATTGTATAATGTACGGCCAGCCTAAGGCTACGTTCACACTAGCCTTGTGTGCAGGCGGCAGAGAGGCGTTTGGGAAGCGTTTTTACCGCTTCCCAAACGCCTCTGCCAATTCTGCACATTACAGCACATGGTACTGTTCTAACGGGAGCGTTTGCGTCGCGGGAAAACGGACGCCTCTGGACGAGTCAGGAGGCTTTGAAGCCTCCTATTCTCGTCTATGGTGCCGCTCCGCAAACGCCCGGCCGGCGTGTGCGGTGCGGTGCGGTTGCGGGGCGGTAACACCACTCAAACTGCATTATAGGCGTTTGTGGGGCATTATTAACGCTCGGCAAACGCCTAGCAACCGCCGCTAAACCGCGCATGCGGCGTTTGCGGAGCGTTTGCCGAGCGTTAAAAAACGCTCTGCAAACGCCGGACCAACGCTTGCCAAACGCTATAGGGGCGTTTGGCAAGCGTTGGCAAAACAGCCTAGTGTGAACGAGCCCTAAGTTTCTCTGGATGGGGCATCTCAGACCTCAAAGACCACTGCTTCTCAAGAGCGCAAACCTCAGCATTCTGCCAAGGGACAGGCTTTCCTACTCAGGTTGTGGCTGCTTTCTAAAGAAGATGAACTGAAAAATTGGTCAACTTTTGTTTGATGCGCCAGGAAAAAACTTTTAGCTCATTTATAAAAGGGATTCTAAAGCTTTTTTTTTTCTTTTAATAAAGCAACAATCATGTCATACCTGCTCTGGGTAATGGTTTTGCACAGAGCAGCCCCAATACTCTTTTTGGGTGCCCTGCCAGCAGTCCTGGCTCCTGCACCCCATTAGCAAGCCTTTTGATATGGGGACGTTCTGTGCATCCAATCTCACAGAATGTGGCTTGGCTCTGCCACTATTCTCTCCTCATTGGCTCACTGGTTGTAATTGACAGCAGCAGTAGCCAAGGAGAAGACCCTGGAGAGCCACTGCTCTCATGCATCACTGGATCAACATGGGGCTCAGGTAAGTATAAGGGGGGCAGCTGCACCAAGGAGGTTTACCTTTTAGTGAATGCAAGGTCCTTGGTAGTAACACTATCTGGTCCCTCACAGTACACATGAAAATGCAATTATTTTATTAAATATAAACTGCAAATTACCTTTTCTCATCAGCAGTATATAGCAGTCTTGTGACTTCTATCAGTGTCCAGCTGAGCACTGAAAGCTTGTAGTAGGAGTTTTCAATTTTTTCTGACTGTCCTATGAGGCTGCATAAGCCCTGACCCTGTGTCTGGACAGTGCTGATCACATACACCCTCCCAAAAATAGGAAAGAATCTAACCTCTAGCCATAAACACTAAACTGAGCATGTGCAGAGCGACTCCTAGAGCCCTGTAGTATCAGCAGATGATTTTTTCACACACACACACACACACACACACACACACACACACACACACACACAGTGACTATTGCCTATACAGATTGATTTGAAGGGGGGGGACAAAAACTGGTTCCTCTATATGCCACCCCACCTATCCAGGTGTACAGGGGAGCTGCAGGGTACCCCCCTGCACATGGGGCTGGGTTGCAATTGTAAGCCCTGTAGAGGCCACCGCCTCTATTAAGGTTCTGGTGTCAACCCTAGATCTGGGATTCTCTCACTTTCACTCTTGGTGAAAACGGAATTGCCCTTACAGGGGTACAGCCATTGATAAAAACCCGACAGAGTTCCTAACCCCCAGACACTAAAAATAAAATATAATTTTGCCTTTAGTTATACTTTAAGTATTGGCAGCAGTCCTATTTCCCCTAGGACAGGTTTCTTGAACTGAACAGTGTGCAGGTAAAAAAGGACTCCAAGTCAACTTACTTGTATCTGTCGAACTCTGGGGTGCAGTGGGCTTTATAAATAACCTAAAAAGAAAATAAAAGAATATATACAAGAAATTAAAAAGGTTAACACATCCAAACTTGCAGCAGACATTTCTCTATATAGGTGGGCTCACCCAATTTAAAGGGTCGCTCCACATAAAGACATGTCTATACTGGATGAGAGTGCGTTTCCCTACGCACTTTTTTGGGTGCATATGGTATTTCACTCCTCTCCCCCCCTTTTATTGGAGAGGTCTGTACTGTGTTTTATAGTGCATCATTTGCATTCCTCAAGACAGTGAGGTATTTTTGAGTGGATATGGTGACGTATGGGGCTTATCCATGAGAGGCTGCCATTTAAGCCCGTGGATGAGTGTACCAGTATTACGTGTCTGTAGCAAGATAGATTATACTATCAAATTAGTTTTGTCCATGGGGGAACTCCTATTCCTTAACAAAGACTAAACGTGAAACTCAAAATTTGAATATCGTGCAAAAGTTCATTTATTTCAGTAATGCAACTTAAAGGTGAAATATATGAGATAGACTCATTACATGCAAAGCAAGATAGTTCAAGCTGTGATTTGTCATAATTGTGAGGATTATGGCTTACAGCTCCTGAAAACCCCAAATCCACAATCTCAGAAAATGAGAATATTGTGAAAAGGTGGAATATTCTCGGTTCAAAGTGTCCCACTCTAATCAGCTAATTAAGCCATAACACCTGCAAAGGGTTCCTGAGCCTTTAAACGGTCTCTTAGTCTGGTTCAGTAGGAATCACAATCATGGGAAAGACTGCTGACCTGACAGTTGTGCAGAAAACCATCATTGACACCCTCCATAAGGAGGGAAAGCCTCAAAAAAAGGTAATTGCAAAAGAAGTTGGATGTTCCCAAAGTGCTGTATCAAAGCACATTAAATAGAAAGTTGTGGAAGGGAAAAGTGTGGAAGAAAAAAGGTGCACAAGCAGCAGGGATGACCGCAGCCTGGAGAGGATTGTCAGGAAAAGGCCAGTCAAAAGTGTTGGGGACTTTCACAAGGAGTGGACTGAGGCTGGAGTCAGTGCATCAAGAGCCACCACACACAGACGGATCCTGGACATGGGCTTCAAATGTCGTATTCCTCTTATCAAGCTGCTCCTGAACAAACAACGTCAGAAGCGTCTTACCTGGGCTAAAAAACCTGGTCTGTTGCTCAGTGGTCCAGAGTCCTCTTTTCTGATGAGAGCAACTTTTGCATCTCATTTGAAAACCAAGGACCCAGAGCATGGAGGAAGAATGGAGAGGCCCAAGGACCCAGAGCATGGAGGAAGAATGGAGAGGCACACACTGCAAGATGCTTGAAGTCCAGTGTGAAGTTTCCACAGTGTTGATTTGGGGAGCCATGTCATCTGCTGGTGTTGGTCCACTGTGCTTCATTAAATCCAGGGTCAACACAGCCGTCTACCAGGAGATTTGGGAGCACTTCAGGCTTCCTTCCGCAGACGAGCTTTATGGAGATGCGGACTTCATTTTCCAGCAGGACTTGGCACCGCCCACACTACCAAAAGCACCAAAACCTGGTTCAATGACCGTGGGATTACGGTGCTTGATTGGCCAGCAAACTCACCTGACCTAAACCCCATAGAGAATCTATGGGGCATTGCCAAAAGAAAGATGAGAGACATGAGACCGAACAATGCAGAAGAGCTGAAGGCCGCTATTGAAGCATCCTGGTCTTCCATAACACCTCAGTAGTGCCACAGGCTGATAGCTTCCATGCCACGCCGCATTGAGGCAGTAATTGCTGCAAAAGGGGCCCAAACCAAGTACTGAGTACATATGCATGCTTATACTTTTCAGAGGTCTGATATTGTTCAATTATGACAAATCACGGCTTGAACTATCTTGCTTTGCATGTAATGAGTCTCATATATTAGTTTCACCTTTTAAGTTGCATTACTGAAATAAATGACGTTTTGCACGATATTCTAATTTTTCGAGTTTCACCTGTATATTCAAGCCGATAGGCTTATGATCAAACTACAGTTCCTCTTTGTATGCCGTCACTTCATCTAAAACGGTATGATATTTGATCGGTTATTAACCATTTGGATGTAAGGTAAATAATTGCAATGGTATCCAGTCATACTGTTGTGCGCAGTACATTCCACTCCAATAGGCATTAATTACAGCTGAGCGTACATTTTATAAATTTGAATAAAGGTTATAGATTTTAGATTCATGAATTGGCCAGATGGTGGGTAGGGAAACGCACCCTCAGCCAGTATAGATTTGCCAAACATGATTATTTACAATTAGGGCTTAGTTCACCTAAAGACATACAGTTGTGACCAAAATTATTCAACCCCCAATGCTGTAAAGGGGTTTAGGGACTATAGTGTACATTTGGAATTGTATTCAGAATCAAATCCTACAAGGACGTTGTAACTACCCAAATGCAACTAAAATGACATCAATTGTTTATGTAATACAGTAGTAAATGGTTCTTATGTGGTTTCTTCATTGCCACAATTATTCAACCCCTTAAAGACTACCACTCTGAAGAACAGAGGTTCATACAGGTGCTTTCCATCAGGTATTGAAAAACACCTGTGGATGTCACCGAGCAGCAATCAAGCATAATAAGCACCAATTAGGCAGCTTTAAAATGACTGTGATACTCAGCTCCTTCTAGACATTTACTGGTGTGGTTACAAACATGGTGAAGGCAAGAGAATGGTCCAGGAAGACAAGAGAAGAGGTGATTTCTCTTCACAGGAAGGGCAATGGCTATAAGAAGATTGCAAAGATGTTAAACATACCAAGAGACACCTTAGGAAGCATCATTCGCAAATTCAAGGCAAAGGGCACTGTTGAAACGCTACCTGGTCGTGGCAGAAAGAAGATGCTGACTTCGACTGCTGTGCGCTACCTGAAGCGTAGAGTGGAGAGAAGTCCCCGTGTGACTGCTGAGGAACTGAGAAAAGATTTGTCAGATGTGGGTACAGAAGTTTCAGCCCAGACAATAAGACGCACACTGCGTAATGAAGGCCTCCGTGCCAGAACTCCCAGGCGTACCCCCTTGCTGTCTCCAAAGAATAAGAAGAGTCGACTGCAGTATGCCAAAAGCCATGTGGACAAACCACAAAAGTTGTGGGATAGTGTTCTGTGGACTGATGAAACAAAATTAGAACTGTTTGGGCCCATGGATCAACGCTATGTTTGGAGGAGGAAGAACAAGGCCTATGATGAAAAGAACACCTTGCCTACTGTGAAGCATGGTGGAGGGTCAATCATGCTTTGGGGCTGTTTTGCTTCTGCAGGTACAGGGAAGCTTCAGCGTGTGCAAGGTACCATGAATTCTCTTCAGTACCAGGAGATATTGGATGGAAACGTGATGCAGTCCGTCACACACCTGAGGCTTGGGAGACGTTGGACCTTTCAACAGGACAATGATCCCAAGCATACCTCCAAGTCCACTAGAGCATGGTTGCAGAGGAAAGGCTGGAACATTTTGGAGTGGCCATCGCAGTCACCAGACTTAAATCCGATTGAGAACCTCTGGTGGGACTTAAAGAAAGCAGTTGCAGTGCGCAAGCCTAAGAATGTGACTGAACTGGAGGCCTTTGCCCATGAAGAATGGGCGAAGATACCCGTAGATCGCTGCAAGACACTTGTGTCAAGCTATGCTTCACGTTTAAAAGCTGTTATAACTGTAAAAGGATGCTGTACTAAGTACTAAGATTGAATGTCACTTGGGGGTTGAATAAAACTGATAATGCTGTGAGCACAGAAAAGACATTTGTGGTTATTTCATTATAACTGTTATGTTATATTTGTCTGACCTACAAGTGCCTCTTTAATGTAAATGTAAGCAAGATGACTGAATGATCAAAAGCAATGTCAAACTGGCCAAAAACACTCAATTTCAGTGGGGGTTGAATAATTTTGGTCACAACTGTATGTTGTAGAACAATGCCAGAGCATGAAACAGGCATCTTAACATACTGAGGTTCTAGAGTTGTCAACAGTACAGGGGCACTCTGCTGCAGGATGACGTCAATCACCCTGCTAAGCTCCAACATTGTTAGATACCAGAACCTACCCAGAGCTCCTGCAGTGGAAGAGGGGGGTGAGGGGGGAGGGTTAGGTGGCAAGAAAGGCAATTATACTGGGAGAGGAGAGGGCTATAAGCAAAGTGCATAGTCTCTTTAAAGACTTACTCCAGCAAAAACCTCTTGAGAATAGGGAAGGATTCCAGCCTCTGTTGGTTTTATCGTCACCTGTTCCTCTATTAGGCCTCATTCAGACAGGGGGTAAAAGTGGGTTGTTTGTATTTACAAAGCTTAACAAGGCAGCCAGAGGGGACAGTAAACATGATGCAGCTGCAAGGCTTTGCTTCTTGGCCATGGTACATTTAACTTTGTTTCTCCAGTTTGACAGGTGGGGCCATTCATCAAACCCACCCTTTGAAGTCAACGGGGCCATGCCAGAACCAAGAGCTTCTCAAAAAGGTACATTAGAAGCTGCAGCAAGTTAGACAGAGCTTGCCTAGCCCGCCCCTTTCATTCATTGGATTAGTTTTCAATCATGAAGGTTCATCATAACATGCATGGATAGTCGGAATGCAAAACACAAATGCCCACACCTCCAGGATGACAACAGTTTAACATTTTTTGCATATTTCTGCTGCCCGGATGATTCCCAAGAGCACAGTGGCCTCCATCATTCTTAAATGGAAGATGACTGACAACCAGGACTCTTCCAAGAGCTGGTCAAAACTGAACAATTGAGGGAGAAGGGCCTTAGTAAGAGGTGGCCAAGAACCCGATGGCATCTGAGCTACAGAGATTGTGTGGAGATAGGACAAAGATCCAGAAGGACAGCCATCACTGCAGCCCTCCACTGATCTGGGCTTCATGGCAGAGTGGCCAGATGGAAGCCTCTCCTCAGTGCAAAACACATGAAAACCTGCTTGGAGTTATCAAAAAAAGCACCTGAAGGACAAGACCTCTCTGGTCTGATGAAACCGATTGAACTGCTTGCCCTCAATTCTAAATG